TCTACTAGCCACCGTCTTCTCATATCACCAGTGGATTCAGCTATTTGTTTATTTAATCGCTTGCGTTCTCTCATAAGGATTCGTCGGTCTCTCGGAATGCTGCGGACTTTAGGCCCTGTTCTTCTCGGGGTATGACGCACACATACCAGTGCCAGTTTCTCACACAGTTTTGTGTAGATTTCCTCAGCATTCAGCTCGTGGAACTCCGCTGTCCAATCGATTTCGTAAATTTCATTCCAAATTGCCCCCCAATCCGTTCTTCGATCGTGGAAGTCAAGTCCTGTCAGTCCCTTTTAGGGGATAGACCTGAGCAGAGTTTCAATTAAAATTGTCGTTTCCACCATCACTAAGCGATGGTCAGACAGTGAGGTATCTTCAACCGGACGTCAACCATTAGGGCGATGATGGTGATCCAATAACTGCGACAAACAGGAACGATTTTGCCAAAAAGCCATGTTATTCGGTATTATCAAGCTCAGCCTCTTCCAAATACTGAGCAAGCCTTCAGGCCACTACCTTCTCAAGAACCTTGATCACCTGTGAGGTCAAAGTCACCGGTCACGAACATACTACGTACATTAATGTCCTCACAAGCATACTACGTACACCATGTCCTCACGAACACACTACGTACATTATATCCTCACGAACATACTACGTACATTATGTCCTCACGAATATTTTTGTTTATTGCGTTCGTGACAGGCGACCGCAGACTCAATTTACGCTTCAAGCCATTCACGTTTATATCTATGCGTAGAATTCAAGTTTCACGTTTTTGGCGCGTTTTTTACATTATTAGTCGGCAAACATCTTGGTTCTGGACCGTGCATATTTTTCTCGCTGCATTAAGAGCATATCTTTATTAGATCACGTAGTTTAGATCACATGTACAGAGATTGAAACATCAATTTATGCAAATATCGCTACGAAATGTTGTAAAAAGAATGCCTTCAACTCACGATCACCTTGAGAAGTTTCGAGTTTTTTGCAACGAGAGCCTAATTTCATACATATTCATGTTTTTTGGTCTTTAGTCATCCATGTCAATGGTTCTTTAATCATCCATGTCAATAGTTCTTTAGTCATCCATGTCAATAGTTCTTTAGTCATCCATGTCAATGGTTCTTTAATCATCCATGTCAATAGTTCTTTAGTCATCCATGTCAATAGTTCTTTAGTCATCCATGTCAATAGTTCTTTGGTCATCCATGTCAATAGTTCTTTGGTCATACATTTCAATAGTTCTTTAGTCCTACATGTTCATAGTTTCTTAGTGTACATGTTCATGGTTTCTTGTTCAATATTGTACGTAGGTTTTTGGCCATACATGTTCCTTATTTTCTACTGTTATGCGTGTCCATATAGTTTGTTATTAATGTTCACACTTGTTAATAGTATTTCAGTCACATATGTCCATAGTTTTTTAGTATTACATGTTATTATTATATCAAATTCACTTCTATATAGTTTCTCAGTAATACACGTTACTATTATATCAACCACACTTGTCTATAGTTTCATAGTAATACTTGTTAATTGTATATCAACCACACTTGTCTATAAATTTGTAGTCTTACTTGTTAATTGTATATCAGACATACTTCTCTATAGTTTCTTAGTAAAACTTGTTACTGGTATATCAACCATACTTCTCTTTAGTTTCTTAGTAATACTTGTTAATTGTACATCAACCACACTTCTCTATAGTTTCTTATTAATACTTGTTAATTGTACATCGTCCACACTTCTCTATAGTTTCTTATTAATACTTGTTAATTGTACATCGTCCACACTTCTCTATAGTTTCTTATTAATACTTGTTAATTGTACATCGTCCATNCTTATTAATCCTTGTTAATTGTACATCATCCACAATTGTCTATAGTTTCTTAGTAATCCTTGTTAATTTTATACCAACCCAATGTTAAATAGTTCTGTAATAACACATACCCATAGATGTTTAGTGCGCGACCAGAAAAACTTGCATCGTCCCTCAGCTTTTGCCGCCTTACACCTCGAGGCGCCAAGCCACGTGTACCTGTGCAGCTCCACACTCTCCTCTATAATATCTATACAATTTCCTTTACATATTCAAATTTTTAATCAAATTCAAGTTTTACATATATATGCGTAATGTGATCTGAGTCTGTTGATGTGACTCTAATTAAAATTACTCTTGTCAGACTATCATGAACAAAAACTTTTGTTTTCAGCTTGTTTAATATTTAATAAGCGTTTACTTCATGTAAATTTTCATTAGTGAGGAAATTTCATTTAAGTTACAAGGTTCAGACGAAATATTTAAAATCGTAAAAAAATATTTGTTACAATAAATCATAGATGCGGGTCAAGCAGACTGGGCTTGAGAACAATTTAGCTCAGTTTAAAGCTTCTTACTTTCCTCATAGCGCTAAGTGAGGTATGCGTTTTCGCTCAACTTCCTTGTTTGTCAAGGAAAATACCCCTATGATAATTAGTCCGCGTCCACAGCGTCCCGGAAAGTAACTTCAAGCTTTAGCTGGAAAAGAACAACCCAATGTTTTCCTCGGCAATAGGGCATCCTTTTGGTCGTAGGATCAGTTCTCGACGGCGATGAGCCAATCAGCGGCCGGCGTTCTCTTTTCCAGGGTTGCCTGTGAACATCCATCCAGTTTGGCTGCAGCCGTCGTAAGGGGAGGTGCAATGCGGCGGTGACTTTAGTCTGGTAGGGTACGATTTTGAAAATTTTTAACTGAGACCAGTTTTTATATTTTTTTTTAACTGAGACCAGTTTGAGAGAAATTTTTAGGCCGAAAGTCTGAAAACAATATTTATTACAATATATTTTGTTTATAATCTCGTAATGAAGGAGCGCTTATATCATATATGGAACATGTTATTAGACACATTATTCCTTTAAATTGTTGTCAATTGTCATAACATATGATATTACATTGTCAATTAACTTTGTAACATATTCTGTTACTCATTTGTCAGTGATCTCGGAGCATCCTGTCCACAATTATTTGTTAGGTAATAAAACACTTGAGTACTAACAACGTCAAATTCAGCGAACGAATTTTCAGTATACTACATTTTTGTTGATGGGAATCTGTCATTTGAAAATTCAATAGGTTTTACAATAATGAAGAATGGGTTTATTGCCTCTGTATTACTCAGTCATAGCTTGTTATGGCACAAGACGTGGGAACAATGTTTTTTTCCTGTTTTTTTCCTGTTTTTTTTCCTATTTTTTCCCTATTAGAATTCTTCTCATTTTTGTTATTAATGCTTGCGTGTAACTTAATCGCAATTTTTTCTATAGTGGGAAAGCAAAATCCCAAAAACTATAGAAAACTTTTTTATCTTCGCGACACAATTTTAGGCCACGTGAACTAAACATTGGTAAAAAAAACTTGTAACCCCTGAGAAGTAGTGCTTTTTATAATAATAATATTAATAATAATAATTCGTTTCTAGACGTCTGTTAATGAATGTTTGATTCCGTACCCTATAAAGCCACAGTGACCATTTTTTCCTGCTTTGCCGTGACCCTAAATCCACGTCTGGAATGCGGTAGTCGAAGGCCACACTCTAAAATTCATGTCACTACAAAGTTCGTACAAATGCGCCGCATTCATGATACATGTTTTTATGCTCGACATATTTTCTTATAGTCGTCATCATAGGGAATGAATTCATGCTCCAAAGTCGGACTTCCAAGCAGTGATGGTAACGAATGCCATGTAGACTGAAAATCCCCAGGTCCGGGTTCACCTCCATGGAATCTGCGTTCAAACTCTAGTATATCTACTTAAACGTTATTGTCTGGAGGAAGATTGTTGGTTCTATGTGTTAGTAAATTTCGCTTTAAATCATTTGTTTAATTTTAAACTCGCTTTATTAAGGTTTAATGTGGCATTAAATCTGATGATGACGGGCGGAGCCACGCTTGTCGACTGCTTCAGAGAAAGTGTTGCCCGTTAGTGGGTGACTGCTCTATTTATTTGGTGGCCGTTAGTGGGTGACTGCTCTATTTCCAACACATAAATCAATTCTCAATTGAGGAATTTAAAAAAAAACTAGCTGGGTTGACCGGCGTAGCCCAGGAGCGATAACCCAGTAATTTAAGAGTCCTCTCCGTTTTGCAGTGCAGAACTTATAGTAAATGCATTTTTTGTGGTAAATAGTATGCTTCTCTAATATGCTAACAATAATAAATTTTCAGGTCCAGGTAAAATACCGACACGATAGGTATTAGGTAATTCTGGAAACGCGCTACAAGAGTCCTTATACAATTACGGTGCCAGGCTTAAAAATAAACTTTGACAAATATCTGAAGATAAGTGAATGGAAATAAATAATTCGGAGTTATTTTAATGCCGAATATCCAACTCGTTTTCAAGAATGAGGGTTGAAAATAATTCACTGAACCGAGCCTTCCTTCAATTTACCAAGAGCAGTTGGTAATTGGACATCATGGCATTCACTTATTAAAATTTATTAAGTTGGGTACGTGTGGAGAACTACCAATCTTCGGCAACTTTGCGATTGGGAATATTTTAGTCTAAAACAGTAAATTTTTACAAATCTGGTGTGAAATGTTTCTGAACTGTTTGATTTTAATACTCATATTGAATCGTTACATGTACTTGTCGCTCCTGTGCTAAGCTTTTTCAATTTTTTGCAGGTTCGTTCCAAACATGAGGAAATTCAGCCAACTGAGCGACTAACAAAAGGGCCCGATAATGCTGCCCAAGTGACTTATAGAATTGATTTCATAACATGGCTATATAGAGTTGCATATATATTTCCCATTATTCACAGTGCATGTATGAACCAATTCATGCAGTGACTAAAACTAGTGTAAAAATAACGGGTTAATCTTGAAGGAAAATTTTAGTACGAGGCGTTGGTCTCAAAAAGTCTTGGGACAATCCAAACCAAGGCTAAAAAAACGAGTTTTTCTTGAAGCAGAATCCGCAAAAGTCTCGGGACAATTCACGCCTGAGACCGCCATGGCGGGACGGATCGCAAAGGTCCGGTGGGCAGCACACGGGCGCGAGATGTCGTCGCATCTCAGCAGCATTTACAGCAACTTGGTGAGTTGCGCACGGCAGGATGATTATATATGGCTGAATTAATATATTTCATGGTTCAACTAATATTATTCAACCAGGGCATATTTAACTAATAGGTACTTATTATAGTTATATGACATGTTGAACTAATATAGTTAAACTAATATAATTCAACCCTGGCATGTTGTACTAATATAGTCATGATTCCCGCTTGGTATGATTGTTATTCTTAATACAAATTTATTACGATGAACTTGATACAAATTATTACGACATACATTGAGAAAAATTATAGGATCATAATGTCCAAATACTGACGCATCTTCTACACGTAGCGCTAATAAGTCCTTTCGCTGGACCAAATAAGGTCATAGATGACCCACACGTGGGCAAAAAAGCATCGCCTTTTAATCAAAGTCTCGTTTGATTCCCTGAGTGAATATGAATAAACTCGGATTATTTACAATGCTGTGATATTGTTCTTAAATAATGGTTTTAATCCAAGTTTAGGTAAATTATAATGCAGAATATTCGAATCTAATTTAAAAATTTTAATCTAACGAAGGAGAAGGTTCTAAAATGTTGAATTCGGTTAAATGATTAATTTTCATAAACAATTTGAAGCTCGATTGGCATGTATATCTCATAAATAAGGGTAGAAAGCAGTTGTGACATTGAAATATAGTCTGTATTACAGAAACGAAAGTAAGGAAAATTAAATCAACAGGCTATATAATTTTTGTAAATTAAAAAATGCTAATTTACTAATTTTTATCGTTGAATTCACCCCAGATCCTCTTTTTTCTCTTCTAAAAAATTTCCGTAGAAGCCACCGTCTAAGAAATTTATTACGTTTAATGCACAATGTCATCATTCATCGCAGATTCTTAAAAGACTTTACAACATATTTCTTTTAGTAAATAGTACAATATAATAGTGTTGACGGTGAAGAATAGGCCTAGATTGGCCGGTAGAGAATTGTCTTTTAATTTTCATGGGAGTAGGTAATTTTTCCAGTAAATTTACATGCAATTCTCTTGCCTGATAAAATTTTTTAAGCAAACAGCAGCGATTCGTTGTATGCAATGTAAGACATCTGTGATCAGGCAGACGGGAAGATAAATACATTCACCAACCTGACTGGATAGTCGAGGTCGATCCAGTTTTTGTGGCATCTGCCCGCTCTCACATTGTTCCACCTTGATAATCAAGTTTTGGGCGTGAATGTATCCAAAATTTAGCTATCTATATTTTTAAAGAGTGTTCTTCAGAATGTGGGCTGGACTGCGCATGATTTTATTTCTCCTTGAACTAATAAAAGGAAAAAAACAGACTTGGTTTTAAAAATAAATAAATAAATCTTGCATCTAAAAACTTTTTTTTAGTCGCCGCGTGCTCTGAAACGATGACAAGACAAGAAAGGTCGAATTTTAAGGTGAACCAGATCTTGAGGCGTCCATATGGAAATACCAGATTGAAGAGAAAAAAATATTCATACAAGAAGATACAAGAATAACTTGTTTATTCAATATGAGAATATGCAAGTATAACCTATAGATAATACAAAAAAAGATACGAGGCTAACTTGTTTATTCTATAAAATAATACACAAGTATAACATGTAAATTAAATACAAGCTGATACAAGGGTAACTTAAATGTTAAATGTAGAGACACAAGTATATATCGTATGTTCAATACAAGAAGATACATGGATCAAATTTATATTAATATTAAGATAAGAATATGCGGGTGTAACTTGTATATTCTAAGCGTGACGACCTGACCATCGACGGCTTTTTTACCTGTACTCGTCTGTTATTTACATTAATATTTGATAACACGGTACTGACTACCGATATCTTAAAAATGCAAGGCTTATTTCTGCGTTTAGCACCCTCTCGTTTGAATCATTGGTTTAATATGAATTTGAGATATATGTATAATCAATGAGAGAAATTTAAATAGTTAATATTTCATGACCTCAGATTGTTGCTGAGAATAATAACGTAGCGGAAAAAATGCACCAAAAAATGTCATCTTATAAATTTTCTCCCTATATACACAGACTGAAGGCTTGAAACTGTTAATAATTCATGACCTCAGATCATAGCTGAGAATAATAATGTTGCGAAAAATAATGCACCAAAGAAATGCATCTTATAAATTTTCTCCCTGTATACACAGACTGAAGGCTTGAAATTATTTATAATTTAGAAGCGGTAACTCAACAAGCATCCGAACTGCACGTACGCACCCATAAAATGCGCCTCTATTGCGACTCGAAAAGTAACTTTGTGCAACAATCCTTGAAAAAACCCGCTCCTTAATTATCAGCTATATACAGGATGCGAGCACAGTGCCCTCGAGCGGTGCTTGTAGTTTTTGTTATCTTGTCAGACTACTTTGAACTTCGGGCTAGCGTTAATGGATTAGCAGACTAGGAATAATGGATAGACGCGCCGTATACTCCTTATAGTCAGTGGTTTAAAGTCAGGTAAAAAATCAGTAATAATGTTACAATAAGCAAAAATCTCAGAGGTTTTCCATGCTTCTGCAGTAGTTTTGTCATCTTTTTATTGACCTTTTCTATTTTTATTTTCATTTCTATATTCACTGAGGGTCATTCGTCTGCCAACACAGCAGCTACTGGGGATTTACGCTGGACAATTTTGACTCTCTGGGCATAGATTTTAAAAAAATCTCAATGGATGCTATTCTTAATACTTTGTCTGTTCTTCAAGCAAAAAATTACTACAGCTCTCAATTATGTGGTATCCAAGCAATGCATGGTTCTTATAATAAGGGTAACTCATGTAATAAGTGTAACTCTTGTAATAAGTGTAACTCATGTAACAAGTGTAGCTCTTGTAAAAACTGTCACTCTTGTAATTATTGTAACTTTTGTAATAAGTGTAACTCTTGGAATAAGTATAACTCCTGTAATAAGTATAACTTTTGTAATAAGTATAACTCTTGTAATAAGTGTAACTTTTGTCATTAGTGTTACTCTTGTAATGAGGGTTAACTCTTATAATAAGTGTGTGACTCGTGTAATACGTGTAAATCTTGTAATAAGTGCAATATTCGTAATACTTACGTACATGTGATAATTCTACTCTGTTTTCTAGTGTCCAGTGTTAATATCTTCAATGCTACACCCAATCGCCTAAACAATTATCTCACCAGCCTTTAATTCAAAAGACTCAATTTAAAAACGCAATTTTAAAAGTAGATGAAAATAACTTCGTAGTCGTCACGATGCAATCAAACCCTATACAAATAGCTGTTCTGACCAATATAATATGGTTTTTTGTTTGAAAATTTAAATATATTATATATTATATATATATAACATTTATATATATTGCAATATTATAATATATATAAATATATTTATATATAACAATTTATAAAATAAATATATGATACTTATTTTTTTATATACGGTGGGCGACACGAAGTGCAATAAAGGTAAAATTTTTAATTGTACTAATATTTTAATACATTTTTTAATATTTTATGATATTTTTAATTGTACTTAGTAAAGCATAATCGGACACACACACACAAAAGAAAATGGCACGACAGTCTATATTCTAATTTATTCTCACCTTTAATACTAAAATTCTGAAGTACTTCGTATATTTGAACATCTAACTTTTAATTGCACTCGTTAAATTTTGATACTAAAATAAACTGTTGAACCTATAATATCAGACGTTTCGTTCACTTCTGCATCGATATTTTAAAGACAAGATAACTGAAAATGAAAAGTCATTTAAGTTTCACATACAATAATAATTTTGGGCAAACTTCAATAGATGAAAATACTTACATTAGAATTTAGTGTACCTAATGAAATTTAGTTGCTGTTAGCAAGTGGAGAAGTTCTGTTCTCACAATATATATAGCATCTCTCTGAAAATTTACATAAGTTTCTTTTATTATTTCACTTTTTTTCTCGAAATTCCAATTCGTAACTTCATCATCAGATAAAATCGTCTGAAACCCATTACGCTGCGATGTTGCTCTATGTACTCTAAAATTCCGGTTTCTTTGCAAGATCAAGCTATTTGGTTTCAGAATTTTTTGCGCCACCGACGAGTTATTCGTCTTTTTTTCGACCATTACTTGCCATTAACGAGACTCAAAAAACCTGTCCTGTAACCTGACCAACGAAACTCCAAATGCGGCCAAGATGACGAGGCGGACTTACCCTTTAAGCCTATTTCTTTTTCTTACATTGGAGTATAAGTGTAAAGCAAACTATGAGTGTCTAAACTGTTCTCGAAAGAAATTCAATAGCAATGTAAATATGTAATTCCGGTCTAGTAAAGTTGAAAGCCTAAAGCTGTTGACATAAAAGTAAACGATACCCTGGTTACGTTTAACCGTCCCTTCAACTGCACCAATGTTCGAAGGAGTTTCATTAGAGAATAAGAATATCAACGTTTAAATTTCCTTGACAACATTCATTTTTATTCGAATTCTTGAACTTTCAACACTCCATTTCCCTAGGGCGCAGAGAGCGACTGCGTGATAGCCAGTGAAGGAGGGAGACGGTTCCCCGCTCATCGCGTGGTCTTGGCGATGGCGAGTCCATTTTTCAGCCGCATCTTCGCCACGATGACGCCCGACGTCGTCAACCCGCTCATCGTCTTGGACGGCGTTGAAGCAGACCATGTTGAGGCCCTGATGCAGTACATGTACTCTGGATACTCCATCGTCAAGTGCGAGAAGCTACCAGGTCTCTGCCGAACCGCTAAGATACTATGCATCAAAGAATTCCCATCCCTTGAAGTGGCACCATCTGTCAAGAGACACACGGATGACAGAGCTGAAGTTGTTGAGGTGACGGATGAAAAAAATTCTATACCACGGTCGTCGCTGGAACGTAGGCTGGAAGCAGATAAATATCAAATGTTTCATGCTCCCCGGAGAGACCAAGGGACAGACAAAACTTTCCAGCCGGATTTCAAGAAAATAAAAACTTGTTTGGATGAAACCCGACAACCTCTTGAAATGAATCAGCGTACAGAAAGGCGAGTTATGAATCAATCCAATTTTCAAAGAGATCATCTAGCATCAGATCCCCCAACATTCCAAAAACGAAGTGACTTTCCCTCCAGTTGGCAACAAAATTCAAAGAAATACAACGAACCCATTGAAAAAAGCTTTACTCACACCAACGCAAGTCCAAATCAAAATGGTAACAATGTCCAAATGTTCAGTCCAAGACCTAGCTATGGTAAGCCCCTGTCGGAATTTTCTCTGTTGACTGCGCCACTGGCGGGGGAGAGCAAACTTCGGGAGGCTCTACGGGTGCCTGTGACTGCTGCTCAATCAACTTCCCAGAGCGTGAGTTGATCATCAGATGTAAAAATCCTTTTGTTTTAAACTCTTGCGTTCTGTTAATTGAACTCGCAACAAGAATAGCATGACCAACATTCCTATTATATTTCAAATAGTATAGTATAGTATCTTCGGCATTGAAGAATAGACCTGGATGGGCCTGTCGCCGATTCTTGTACTTTTTTTGGCTAGATTGGCCTTTTGATCAAAAATCGTCACTAGAAAATATTTTTAATTTTATTGCCATTGATTAAGCGTTATACTATGATATCTTTTTTACGTCCTAACACTTTTGTTGAATAAAAAGGCACACCTTTGCAATGCCCTAAAATTTTGCTCGTTTTTTTTAATTATGATTATTGTTTTCGTTTCAAATTTGATTGCCTTTGTATTACCTGCAACTTTTTATTAAATTTCTAAATCTCTTCAAATTTATTTTCTTATTTAAGTTATTTCCCGGACAGTTCATAGGCTCGATAAACCTTTTGTGTCGACCCTAGCTAATGTTAGTTCTTTCCCGCGTCCGTGTTCAAAAACATGATTTCATTTTGCCATTTTTTAAGGTTATCCTGTCTCTGAATTTAGAAATACAAGCTAAATTTTAACGTTACTAGATAATTATTTATTGTCCCATAGGTGGAAACAAAGGCTATTAAGCAGGAAGATCCTCCTGAGTTAGTGGACGTGTGCAGCGTTTCTGACGACGAGGCTGTGAAGGATCGCCTCGCTTGTGACTCCTCCACAT